ATCTGCGCTTGTTGTTAAACCACCCGCGCCTTACCCGTGTCTTCGATCGCGCACGTAACAGTTTTATATACGAGTTTTATATATAATGTAAACGTGTCAAGAACGAAATGTTCATTTACGTCGAGACTACGTACAATTCATTTACCACAATTATGTATAATGGCCTATCTATTATTACACAAATTAATACGATTTACATAACCGTCCCAGGCTTTGAGCATGATGAATGATTTATATCTCCACACTTCGTGTTTCGTCTTGCTTCATTCATATTTATAAGCGGTATAAACAGATGTTTGTGCTTCCAGTAATTAAGAGTTATAGAGATTTATAGCGCATCCGAATTAACGTTAAATATATATATCAATAATTATCTACAAGCGTAAATCACCATAATGGAAGGGAAAAAGAAATTGTGATTTTTTTCGATATATATATATATAAGAATATAACTTTATAATTGACGATAATCGTTTCTTTTCTCGTTGAAATCGACGAAAAGACGACGATTCCTCGTTAAAATTCGCTTTTACGATGAATCATATGACGACAAGTATAGGCAGATAAATGAAACGAATCGAGTCGAGCCGGCCGTTATTGATCACGTTATTGATAAAGCTATTTAATCACACGTATATAAACAGAGGTACATTATAAGAACGATCGACAAATCGTCGCCTCGATTAAGTACTTGTTATTCGAAACTTGGATCAAGCGTAATTAATTATCTCGTAACACATTTTGCGCAAACGTATTATAGTTATTAAACCATTATTAAAAACCAACAATTTTCCACTCTTCCGAACGAATTTATTCTTACGAATTTATACCGCGATAATAATTTTCTCCTTCCCCTTCCACTCGAAACCGGTATCTGTTTCGCGGTGAAAGGAAAATCTCGAGCCTAATCCTCGAGACTCGAGACCCGAGAAACGAATGTTAAACGTACGGGATGTTATCGAAAGAAAGAGGGAAAAACTTTTACCATAACTTTTTCCATAAAAGCAAACGCTGTTTCGGCCAGGCAGAAACAGGAAAGATAGTTGGCAATGGTTGGTCCGGGTCGCGGCCGCATCGTCGCCGCGCCGGACCGAGGACGCTCTTGTTGTATTTGTCGAATACGAAGTCACGTACCGAATACATTATCGGGTGGAATACGGTGTATGCATGTGAAGGTTGAAAAGCAGGCAGGCTGGAGGGCAGGCTAGCGGGCAGGCAGGCAGGCTGAGAGCAAGCTCGGACGGACGGACGGACGAACGAACGAACGAACGAACGAACGAACGAACGGACGGGTGGGTGACTATATTGATTGTGTAGCCGGCTGACAGCGACAGTGACATATGTCACCGAGGCTTCTCGTTATCGCTGATTTAAACATGAGGCAACGAGGCCCTTGCCGAGTTGTCTGCGCTGCACCAGCTTCGTATTTCTGTCTACGTCTCCATCCCTTCCCCTTCTCCCCTCTCTTATTATTATTGCCGCATACGTTTTTTTCTTTCTTTCTTTTTTCCTTTTTTTCCCCCCCCCCTCCCTCCCTCCCTCTCTTCCTCTTTTCCCGGTCAATGTATAGACTGTCACACCGTCGGAAGCCCGACGACGTGACCTGTTTGATCACCGCGCCGATGAAATGCCGTGTCAGAAATAATTACGAGCCAGTCGCGCGCAGTTATGTTATTGTTGCTTGAGCGCTCGTTACCGTTATCGCTTACGGGCCCCTGCGTGTATATTTATATACACACATATATATATATATNTGTGTGTGTGTGTATACTCTTTTCCTTTCCCCGAATCTCGACCAATCGAATCGATTTTTTCTCGTCGATCGATGTACAGGATTTATACTATATATAATAGTGTATACTATATATATATATAGTATATGTAGTGTGTAATCACATGTGACCCCCCTCCTTGTATGGTACGAGTTCGAGTTGGATATATACGTATGTATATACACAGTTAGAAGAAACAAGGGATGAGGCGGCGAAGGGAAAGAAAGAAGACCGCTATGATTTATTACCGGCCGCAAATTCTGTTTCTCCTTGGTGCGCGCCAACTGCGTTTGCGTTCATCCATCTTTTTCCCTTTCACGGCTCACCGAGCAACTTTTCCCCACCTCCCCACCCCCCTGCCCCTGCCCCTTCCTTCAACCCCCTTTGTTCCGCACCATCTCTCAAAGTGACTGACTGCCTCCTTTATTATCCGCTTGTCAGCATTTTTACACTTTTATCCACCGTTCTCTAGTATCTATTGTCGTATCCCGGGGCGAATTCGTTTGGTCACAATACGATCATCCTTCTTTTTTTTGGTATTACCAAAAGTATCGTCGTATCTCGTTTCGAGAATGACGTTTGAAAAGCTATTGCGGTTTAATGCGTCCGATACGAATAGGATCGTGTAAATTATATACACTCGCCGCTCTCCGGCGTTTCTTCAATATTCTTCCTCCAAAGATTTGGGACAGATGTCCTTTCGCTTTCCTTTTCCCGATGTACGTGTGTGTATATGTATACTCGTTTCGTATGTATGCGTCCGTTTTCGAAAATTTCGTTTTAACGATGTTAAAATTTGGTGTGAATAAGTGAAAAGCTTTAGATTTAAACAACGCAATATATCTTTCCGCGAAAAGCGGGAAACGTCTGATTCATCGACACGCCTCGTTCTATTCTCCAAGCGTTCGTGAAATATGACTACAAATTACCTCTACTTATTTACGATTTGTCGTCGACTACTTGACGACAAATTAACAATCGTAACGATCGTAAAAAATTATTATCCGAGTATTCCGAGAAACCTCTCTGACCTTTCAAACGCCAAGTGTTAAAATAATTCGGGGGAGTAGGGGGGAGGGGGAGACAATTCGATTTATAATCGAATTGGGATAACGATAAAACGTTGTAAAATAATCGCGATCGTATCGTTTATAATCCGTTTCGACACATCCGCTACCCTCGTTACCCTTTGTCGCGTTATTATATCCTTGCTTATCGCGCGACAAGACCGTGTATGATTTACTTGACTTACTCGTGGCGCGTGAATAAAGAGACGGGACGAAGAATTTATTCAGCGAACGAAGGAGAAGGATGAAGAAAGATCGGAAAAAATTACGTATACGTGAGTATATTTCATTACGATACGAGAAATTTTACGATAAATATACACAAGGTATATTTATGAAAGGAATTATATAGGAGCGTAACAAGGAGCATGCTTCGAGCCCCTCTCTTCTTCCTTTTCCTTTTCTTCTTTTTTGTTTTCATCATCGTTATTTGTCTAAAATATTATCGGGGTCATAAATAAAATTTCACGTTGGTCATACTCGGCATTATTCGATTTTTCTTTTCCTTTTTTTTTTTTTTTCTTTTTTTTTTTTTTTTTCTTTTCCTTTTACTCGACGACGACGAAACATCGTTTATGTCGCTACATCTGTCACTAAAGCATCAAAGCTGAATCTTTATCCGTCTGGTAGCTGTCGTTTTGAAATCTTCGAAACGTGGGCTGAAGGAGCGGCGGAGATGAAAGAGAACTATATTAGCCGTAAACTCATCCGTCAGCGTCAAAACGTCAAAGACTTGCCATTGGGGTATTAACGGCGCCATAACTTCGCAGAAAACGGAGCAAGAGGGAAGGGAGAGGGAGAGAGATGAACGGGAAAAACAAAGACGGATGTACAATGGAAGTGGAACTCCCAGAGACCTTTATTTCTTCTGGGAAATATTATACAAGATGGAAAGATTTAATATTACCTCGTCCTCCCCGAACTGTTGATCGAAAATGGAAATTCAACGGGGTACGGGAACGATCATCCTTATCGGAAATCATCGTTACGATTACCGTATATATTGTATATAAATTTATTTTAAAAAAGTTGGAATTATCATCGTATCGATGATTCGAGCTTCGGATAAAGTTATTTTTTTAGTTCGATTTAAAATTTAAATCGTATCTAGAATTTTTGCGATGGAAAAAAATAATCGCACTTTATCGCGTTCCTCGTCCACGCACGAAACGTTGCGAATTGAAATCGAAACGACAACAACAACGACACGACTCTATATTCGCTCCGCTGTTATATTATATAGTATATAGTAGTATTTGCATTCCAAACGCAAAATACGTCCTATACTCCAGGAGGCTAACTTTATCGGTTACAGCGAATACGCAGTCTACGCGGTGATAATTCGTCGTAATTACCTTGTAACATAACTGCTCGACCGATCGCTTTATCTTATTTAAAATCGTATCGCGTGAAACGGTGTCACAATCTTGCAACCGCGTGGAACTGGTATATTTTATAAATCGGGTCACGATCGACTTGTGGTCGTTTCGTTTCGCGTGAGTTTCGAGAGAGAGAGAGAGAGAGAGAGAGAGAGAGGGAGGGAATGAAACGAAACGAAAATTGGAAAGTTATCGACAAAGATAGACGCGGGATCGGTCGTTGGACGAAAGTCGAAATCGGATTCGGTGTACGGTGGATGAGCGTACGCGACAAACTCGAGGCGCGGTCGGGGCGATAATTAAAACGCTTTTACAAAACTGTAGGCAAACAGCGCTTAAGTGGCTGTCATTCGTTACCCCGTGGGCTGTGGCAAGTCGGTAAGTCGCTGAGCGAGCAATCAATCACCCGACATTCCCTTCCCCACCGACCCATTACATTTCTATTTTGAAAGCTGCTTATTAAGCGGGGCCGGTCGGAGAGACAGACAGGTTTCACGGTATAAAATATCGGGTTGCTGTGGTGGCAGGGACGAGGTTCCGTGTCGAGGTAGCTATGGCAGGCTGCGGGGTAGGGGCGCGCGGGGCGAGGGGCGAGGGGAGGGACGGGTAGCAGCGGGGCGGAGAGGGGAATGGGCAGGGAGGAAGGGAGGGAGGGAGGGAGGGAGGAAAGGGGAGAGGGGAGGAGGGGGATGGACGGCTGTAAAAGCGGTGAAATATCAAAGCCGGGATGGGAGCTGTCATCGTCGGGCCAACATCATGGGTGGCGTGTTGAATTAGAATGCCTTCCCACACCCCACACAGGGCCAAACCCCACCGCAATTCTCCCACCATAATCCTCCGGCTGGGAATGGTGGGGGAGGACGAGAGAGGACAGGTTACAGGAGGCTAGATAGGAGCGAGAAGGAGGGGAAGAGAACGGATCTCGTCGGCAGACGGCGCTGCGGTCGCATTCCATTCCGTGCACCGTACAGCTCGGTCGAGAGCTGCTACTATTTTCCTGGATTCCGTTCGGTGTGCATCGTTTCCGTTTCGTGTACCGTATATTTCGTATCACGGAGAAGGATCGATCGACAACCAAAACGCGTATATATACGCGAAACCGTGCCCCGGGACGCGCGAAATATATCGCTTTCTTTTCCGTTTATCCCGTCTGTGTCTCGTTTGATCGTAGTTTCGTGCAGTGATTGGCTTAACAAGTGCAAAACCAAATGGTTGTTCTCGAGGAAGGCGGTATGCTGACCACTGGACATAATCAATATTTACAACCGGATTATCTTTCTCCGCTTCCAACCACGGTCAGTATACACGTATATTTCGTATTCGTATTCCTTTCGATTCTCGTTTTTTCAACGCTTTTAGCCGAGTAAATTCGACGCGTTCGAGAATAAAAGAGGAAGAGAGAGAGAGAGAGAGAGATAGAGAGATAACGTTTCCACGTAGATTTCTTTTCCTTGCGCTTATTTTCTCGCGAAACGATAAGAAGGACGAGTTTCTCTTCGAGAATATCGGCAGAGGGAGCGAGGAACGGGAAAAAAAGAACGAATCGTTCGCTCGGTTTACGGGATAGGTAGCGACGGTACGCGTTGTCCGACGGGTTGCTGTACGCCTTACGCGTTCGTTCGTATATCTTCGTCGCGTATTCCAATCAAATTTCTATTCCTATCTACGAAACGTCTCAACGTTTTATCGCCGTATTTGTGCAGTAACGTGTTGCTCAACTTTATTTTACAGTTGGATGCGAAGAAGAGTCCTTTAGCTTTATTGGCTCAAACATGCAGTCAAATAGGTGCCGATTCTCCGACAAAGCCTTTGATTTCCCCGCTGGATAAAACGTCCAAAGGCATGAATACCGGTACGAATGCGAAATCTCCACCGGCCGCCAAGTTGGAACGGAGTACACGCAGCAGCCCGTCGGACGGGAAGTCGTTGGCGTTTAAACCTTACGAGACTAACGTCGTCTCGAAGAAGTCGTCCTCCGACGAGAGTAGACCTGCTTCCAAAGCGAGTGTTCACAGTGTCAGTGGTCAAGAGAGTTGTGGTGTGAGTGCGAGTGATAACGGAAATCACGCGGAGAAAAAGTCATCGGGAAATCGTACGCCCGTCGGTCGGAAGTCGGCCTCGCCCGCGAGTCAAGCGACGGCCACGGCGAGCACAACACCGTCCATCGTCGATCGCAAGACGCCGGCGGATCGAGAGAAAACCGACGGATCGCCCCGTAGCAACAACAACAACAACAATAACAACAACAACAACAACAACAACAACAACAATGGAACGAGCCCGATCATTAGATCCGGTATGGAGATTCTTTCCGGTGGCCACGCCAAGGATACCAATTTGGCCGCGTACAAGCCCGGCACTCTCGCAGGATTCTCGGGAAATCCGTTGTGCTGTCCACCCGGATTGGCGGAAAATCCGGCTTTCAGACCGCCGTTCGCCGGCGCGTCGCCTTTCTCGCATCATCACGCCGCCGCGGCCGCCCTCCTCGGTTATCCGTCGAGCACCCCCACGGGCGGAAATCCGTATCTGAGCTACGCCCGCGTGAAGACGCCCGCCGGTGGAGAGGCTTTGGTCCCGGTGTGCAAGGATCCTTACTGCACCGGTTGCCAATACAGTATGCACAGCGCGCAATTGATGATGGGCACAGGAAGCTGCCCGAGCGGATGCACGCAATGCGACCATCAGAAATACGGTCTCGCGATGGCGTTGTCGTCGTTCGGCCCCATGGCACCCCCGTCGCTCTCCTACCCGTCCACGTTGACCGGGGGCAGGCCGTACGTCTGCAATTGGATCGCTGGCGATTCTTACTGCGGGAAACGGTTCACCACCTCGGAGGAACTTCTCCAACATCTTCGCAGCCACACCAGTTTGACCGGTGGCGATCACGCGTCCTCCTCGGCGGCCCTTCTCGCCAATCCGCACCCGCATCCTTTGCTCTCGCCGTCGGCAGCTCTCCACCGCGCGAGCGCCGCCGCCACTTATCCGACGCCTTCGCTCAGCCCCCTCGGCGCTAGATACCATCCGTACGGGAAACCGCCGACGGGGCCTCTTCCAGCCTCGTTAGCCGCCTCGCCTTACAGCGCGTTCAACGCGCTTGGACCCTACTATTCCCCGTACGCGATCTACGGGCAGAGGATCGGCGCCGCCGTACACCCTTGAATCGTGGATACCCGTGAATCGTGTCGAACGTTCTCAGTGTACGGTCCATCGTTGGTGTAAACGTAGCGCGAATCCGACGAACAGATGCGATCACCGCTGCTCTTGTTGCTGTTGTGTAAATAATAATTCGACGTGTATCATAGAAATTTATTTAAAGAGATACCTATGTGCATACATATGTATATGTATATATATATATATATATATATATATGTATTACATATATGTATATATGTGTGTGCGTGCGTGTGCGTGCGCGTGCGTGTGCGTGTGTATAAATTCAAGATTACAGATTCGAGTTTCTAAAGATATCTCGCGTGACAGTTTTTTGACAGTTTCATCGTGGAAAATCATCGTTGTTCGCGCAAAAATCTATATCGACGTATATCTCCCGACGTTTTGATCGTTACGTAGGAAAGAACATGTACACCGGATGAAACGTACCGAAAACGAGAGGAGGGATGGCCTCCTATATTTGTCATATTGGCGCGTGTAACGCGTATATTTCGATGTCCCTTTCGCGACGATTTACGCCCTCGACGAAGAAGAGAACGTCGTCGAAATTTTCCTTTTTTTTTTTTTTTTTCTCTCTTTTTCTTCTTCTTCTTCTTCTTCTTCTTCTTCTTCTTCTTCTTCTTCTCGCACCACGCAACGTTTCGTTCCTTAATCTTAACGAGAGAGAATTGTTGTTTCGCGAGAATGGACACGATGAAAAATACTGCTAATCATCCCCGCTTTCTTCGACGATAAAACGCGTTCGATGTCGCGTGTCTTGAAACGGTCGTGCATGTTCTGATGTCCACAATATAACTGTGATATTACGCTATTTTTTCGAGAGAGGAAAAAAAAAAAAAATTAATAGGAGATAAAATATTAACGATCGTATCTAACGGTGTATCTATAAAGTGTATCGTCTAACTTATTCGTATCGTTTGTACAAGTGGAAAGAGATGGTCGAAATGTGATCGAAAAAACGAAACGCGTCAACGTCGTCGTTTCTTGGATTTTTTTTTTTCTTTTTCCCAATGCAACTGGTATAAAGGGAATACATCTTTAACGAAATCTTTTCAATTTATCTCGGAAAATAAAAATCGTGGGATTTTGATTCTTTCTTTTTTTTTCTTTTCTTTTTTTTTTTTTTTTTCTTTTTTATTTTAAAAACTACTACTTTCCGATCGAAGAAGGAACGTGAATGTACGATAAAAAGAACGCATTATTTGCACTGTAAATATCTCTTGTAAATATCGTTGAGTTTCCATACCGCTTTAATAAAAATAATGTTTGTGAAATCATTAAATTTGTCTTTTCATTGATACTTTTACTACTGTCAATTTTTCCCTTAATACTTGTGTGAAACTCAAGGTCAATATTTTCTTTTTTTTTTTTTTTTTCTTTCTTTTTCTTTTTTTTTTCTCCCCTCCCCCGATCAACAAAACTTTCTTCTCTTCCCTGTATCTACTGTCTTCGTACGACGGATAGAAAATTATTTTGCATCCTCGCAAACCGTAGAACGGAATTTTTTTTTTTTCGAAACGGTTTCCCCGTCTTCCATCTCTTTTTTTCCCCCCCTCTTTTTCTCTTTCCTCGGTTTAAAAAATCCGAAATTTCTAGAAATTTTTGAGCTTTCACTCGTATCGTATCGTGGTCGCGTACGTTGAGAGCGAGCGAGAGAGAGAGAGAGAGAGCGAGAGAAAGAGAGAGTAGAGGAGGAGGGAGGAGGGTGGCGGGATATCTAGGTTTCTGATTCGCGCCACCAGGGTGCTCGATCCCCGGGATACCATAGGAGAGGAGAGTAAATTTATTTCTTTCATTACGGACGGAGCGAGTCGCGAGTTCTCGGGTATCAGCGGCGCAAGGCGGAGCGCATAAATCCGCAGCCTAGCGTCGGGAAGCGTAGGGAGGAGGGGAGGGGACGGTGTGGGTGGTTTTCAGACCCCGCGGAGGAGGAGGAGGAGGCTCGTTCCACCCTCTTCGAGCGTCGTCGCTCCTCTCCGTGGCCGGGGTGGGAAACCTGGCTCCGCGAAATAACTGAAATATTCGGTGATTTTAACCGTCGGAATGAATAGTTCCCTCGTATTTTCGCCTCACCCCCTCAGCGGATTGGAATTCGTGTTATTTCGCCACCATTATCGTTGCATCGTTGAATCTCAATTAGCGAGTGGTACTCGTCCGTTCCAAACTAGGGTATTTTACACGACGATCGATCGATCGATGCCTCTCCCTTCCCCCTCTTTCTCGGTCAAAAGTCTGCCAACAAGTTCTTAGCTATTTAAGGAAATCGATATTATCGAATATATATATAAATATGAGATATACAAGATATTGTACAGATATTGTTGCGCGTAAATAAATGAAATAAATATGGTTTCATGACTTCGTATGCGAGCATATGTATAATAAAGAGTATAAAATAGAGAAGCTTGCGGAAGCTAATAATCCAATAGGTAATTATTTTTATTTATCATATGTAACTAGTAGTGGTTTAAGAGTTTAACTAAGAAGAAAAAAAAAAAAAAAAATTTTCAACAATTGGCCTAATGAATGAAATGTTCAAGGCTGAAAAACTTATGTAACGACGTAGAAATGTATTCATATAAATTGTGCGAATAAATTGAAAGAAAAAAAAAAGAAAAAAAAAAATACATACTTTTCTTCTTCTTCACGTTTTTATTAATAATTTAAACTTTTCACCAATTGTACGAATTGCGCTTTCTCTCTCTCTCTCTCTCTCTCTCTCTCTCTCTCTCTCTCTCTCTCTCTCTCTCTCAACACCACACGACTTTTTAACGAAAATAATCTTTGAAAAATTATTATCATTCGTAAGATCGAAGCAAAATCATCGATATTATAGCTGTTATTGGTCGCGCAAAATTGCAACGTCAATGAAAGTAATGGGATAATGCATGACGCGTTACTTCTCGTTATCGAGGCGTAATAATTTTCCCACTTTTTCCCCAAGAACTAGTAGTAAGTCATGCCTGCAATAACCATTTTCTCTCTCTCTCTCTCTCTCTCTCTCTCTCTCGCAATCGTACGAGATTGTAAATCCATCCCAGCCAGTTTTTCAAAACGTAAACGCGACAGATGGCAATTTATCAACTACTTTGTAAGTTACAGCGCACATTGTACATACTTAATGCGTATTCTCTTTTGCTCGGCGTGTCTTTTTCGTTATTCTATTCAGGTTTATCTTGATAATTGGGAAAAACGGGAACTCGTTGTACTTGCGTTGTACAACGAATAAAGGTGACGAACGATTTATTACCGGTTATCCGCGGAACGCGAGTTTCTCCCTTTTTCTCCCGCGAACAAACATAAAAGCAATTTCCAAATTTTGAAGTGAGGCGGAATATCGAAATTTTCTCATATATATATATATATATATATCGAAATATTTTCATATTTTCGGCCGGTGATCGGCCGAGATCGGCGGGTGTAATTTTGGAGAGAGGGAAGAAGGAAAGAAACTACGCGGTTGACCGGATCTTTTTGTCATCGAGAACGCGAAGTGACGTGGAATCAACCAGTCCTGGCCAGTCTTACGAGTCAGAGCGGACAATTTAGCACATCAATAACAGGCCGCAGATAAAAGCAGCCCATACATCGTGGCTGACGTATCGTTTGTAATAAAACACAAAGGGGGTCTAGCCGCCAGCGGCATCTGTGTACCGCGTTGTGCAGCCGTTCGTTCATTCTTGCTGTTATTAACAGGCCGTACATCGTGGATGTTTTCTACCTACCATCTCCCGCCGAGTCATACATCACCGTTGAACGCGCGACAGCAAAGAGCAACTATAATTCATCTATAAGCTACAGCTTCGATCCCCACCCTTCGCCAGAAATTGCGAGAAAGGCGAAATCGATAGGCGAAACGTTGGCTTTTTCTTTTTTTTCTTTTTTCTTCTTTCTCCCGCGAAAAAATTTTCCAGAATTCTCGCCTCATTTCTTTCTTTCTTTCTTCACCCTCGATAATGCCAATCAATCCTCTATTCCGTGAAACGATCGAAAAATCTAAATCCCCTCTCGTATCTCAATTGCTAATTGACGCGTGATTAAATACATCTGTCTACTTTTTTCTACGATTTAGTTATTATCAGATATCCCAACTGTACGTCGTCTCTGATGATGCATCGTCCCTCCTTCTTACCTTCATTTACACCCAGCACGGCCGCCACCCACCGTTCGCGTGTACCGACGTATTTAATTTCGCGACCCCTACCCCTTTTCCCCAACAATTATGTATGTACGTGACAGGTTGCTTTTTTTTGAATGTCTTTTATACTTTTTTTCTTTTTTTTTTTTTTCGTTTTATTGGACCATGAGAAGTAATCTTTGATTTTCACACGATTTTTCGTCCTCGTGATAATCGTCGGTTGAAGAGAAATTGTAAATTAATTTCGTTTATCGTATTATCGTAAAACAGATTACCGTAGCATCCATTTCACGGCAAACGTTAGACAGCTACTACATTATTTCCATCGATCATCGGGCAGAGTCGAGAAGACGACATCCGTCTCGTTGACGAAGAAATATCGCTCGAAAGATAGCGGTAGGAAATATTTTTCATTGCGTACATCTCTAAATTTTCGACAAAATTCCGTTTCAAAATATTGCAGATTTTTAACTCTAAAAAATTGGTGAAGAAAAATTCGATCCGAAGGATCGAATCGAGATCGAGTCGGATTTTCTTGGAATTTAACGACGCGTGAGATTCCGGCTAGTTACTTGCCGGTTATCGCGGTGGACGAGTAGCGGAGAGGCGAGGAAAACAAAAAGGAGGGGGCGGGGAGAAGAGAGGAGAAAGGTGGAGAAAAGTGGGTGAAAAAGCTGGGAGGAGAGGGTTGAAGTGTGTGCTAAGCGGCGAGGGTGGGTGCGAGGGGGAGGGTGCGACGGAGCGGATGATGAATTAGCCGAGGTGACCTCTCGCGCGAAATCTCTCCTGCTAGCTCTCGCGGTAGGCAGCTCCCGTGATGTCGGCCCCGAGATGATGGATCGCTCCCCGTCACGGAGCCATTCATCACCTCCATCTATCAGCCACCCCTTCACCTTGCTTTAGAAAGCGAGCATTCGACGGCTATCTACTCGCTTCGGATAGTGATTAATGTTGATCGGAGCGTACCCTGTTATTCGACCTCACTTCCATCTCCCTTCCTTCTCCGCTCGTTATCCCCCCCCTCCCTATCCTCCTCTCTCCTCTTCCACGACGTACGTCCACACGTTTCTGGACGTTGACTTGGTATTGACTATGCGCGTTCATCTTCTCGATCGTCGGACAGCTCGTTGGAAACGGCGTAAAGGATCACCTCCGAGCTGCTGCTGTTGCCGCCGCTGCTTCTGCTTCCCCTCCATTTTCCCTTACCAAGCGCGCATCCATCCTTCTTTTCGTCCACTCCTTCGTTAATCATCGCTCGTTCGATTTTATTTCCCGATCGATAATCGATAATATAATACGTTACGATTCATTCCTTCTTTTGTATTTATCGTCCGGTGAAAAATATTGGAGATATTTGCTGGTGGCTGGGAGGCAAGGTAAGGCTGGGTGACGGCGATCGCGAAGAATTCGAGGGGAGGGGAGGGAGGGGAGAGAGAGAGAGAGAGACACCAGGAAATCTTTACGAAACTTTACGCGAATAACTAATCGCAGGGTCAGAGCCGATGTCGAGAATTTACATAATACGACAGTGGCATAGCGATCAACCGAGTCGACTCGGCGATGGTTACCGTGAAAGAGGCAAGCATCGTTCCGCTGGAATGGCTGATAATGTTGCACGAGTCGTATATCGTAGCCTTCTTCTTAATGGGATGGCATTAACCATTTTTCACGCGGCTCCTTTTCCTATCGACTCCACTTACGTCTCTCTCTTCTCCACGTTTAATAGCCGTTGTCGCGACGTTGTATCTAACCGGTTAATAATCGATCGACGCTTTTCGAGTCTTCGTTCAATTTCATCGATCAAAATGCAACTCGCGCATACCGTTTCTCATCCAAGTATATATCTTTCTTCCTTCGAATTCTACGTTCCTTTGCGTTTGAAAACGATATCGTTATATATCGTATTAACCAACGAATATTTTCTTCTTTCCTTATCTCTCCTATACGCGTGGATACAGTCCACAAATTGTTCTCGCAGGTATACAGAAGAGCTCGAAGAGCGAGTATACTCGCCACTTGGACTCCGATATCTCCCTTCGACCCAGCCAAGCGACTAATGCGACACCGAAACACGGCCATTTAAGTTTTTTCTTCGTGAAGTGCTCGAGCTTTCGATCCCTCTCTTCGTCTTTCATTACCTGTCATTGTCTCTACGTTCGCCATCGTTCGTAATCGGCAAAAAAGAGAAAATAAGGCTAGAATTTCGCGTATTTGTTCATTATATGTGTTCATTGTATGTGTCGAGTTCTTCTCGCTCGGCAGTCGTTCCGAGGTGGAGATATCTTCTTTGAACCCGGTGAAGCGAATAACGCGACGTCCAATTTTTTTCTTCGCGAGCCTTCTCGTCTTTCGCTAATCATCCTCATTGTCTATGTTCGTCGTAATTGGGAAAACGAATACATATTTTTTCAACGTTGCGCGATAATATTCTGATATCTATCTGATATGATATAAAAAAAAAAACGTTGACCAATTGTTTTGCACTAAAATAAGAAAAAAAAAAGATTAAATTTCTTTCGATTCTTTCGGCGGCTTTTTTAAACACGTACACATCACCACGTGACAAAGACAAATATATTTTTGTACCGCGTAACGCAACTTTAAAATCGATACTTAAAGTAATAATAAAAATCTTATTACGCTTTTGAAAGGATGTGTTATATCGCGATAAAAATATTCTCTCGAGAAGTATGATATCTGTAACGAAAATTGAGGAAAGAAATTAACATAATTACAAACACGACTTTTTATATTTATGCAACGCGATAATAATCGAATAATTTGAAAAATGTTTTTTCGAATCATCGTGTCATTATTCCTCCATTTTACGTATCGTCGAATATTACATAAACGACAACTTGCAATTTATTTGCGATACACGGCGAGGAAAAAGAAAAAAAATAAAAAAGAGGAAACGACTCGAAAGAAATTTAACAAAATGTATTTATCTGTAAAGCGAGTAGAAGAGTACGATAATGTAAATTAAACAAGACTATGTAATTTCGATCGATAAAATGAATGGTTAATTTAAGCTTGTCAATTATACCGATTATTAACGCTTAAACGCGCGAGTATGAGAAGATGCATTTTCACCTTGCGTTTCGAGCGATAAATAAAATAAAATCGTGCGGTCGGGCGGTATTGAGAGGTAGAGTATCCGATTAAATTGGATGCATCGTTAAATTAATTCGAAATTCATACATTCAGAAACGGCGACAAAATATTTTTATTACGTTTTCCTTCACCCGCGAAAGCGATTCTATCCCGGGAAACGGAATTAATTTCAAAGCCGAACACGATTAAAAGACATTTCACGTTACCATCCCGTGATACGGCGTGGAACGCAGTTTCGTGTGTGCGAGCCGCGTCTCCACCCTATCTACCAGCATGCTACGCTTGTAATTACGTTAAATTATTGGATCGAGCATGAAGGAGCGAGTTATCTCTCAATCTAGTCGACTACAAAGGAACCGCCCGAGTAATTGTG